TAGACATTTACGAGACAACAGACACACAAGAGACAATTACAATATCTAATATAGACATACACGAGACAACAGACACACAAGAGACAATTACAATATCTAATATAGACATACACGAGACAACAGACACACAAGAGACAATTACAATATCTAATATAGACATACACGAGACAATTACAATATCTAATATAGACATACACGAGACAACAGACACACAAGAGACAATTACAATATCTAATATAGACATACATAAGACAATTACAATATCTAATATAGACATACACAAGACAATTACAATATCTAATATAGACACACAAGAGACAATTACAATATCTAATATAGACATACATAGACAATTACAATATCTAATATAGACACGAGACAATTACAATATCTAATATAGACATACACGAGACAATTACAATATCTAATATCTGACATACACGAGACAATTTACAATATCTATATAACATAGACAATTACAATATCTAATATAGACAAGCAAGAGACAACAGACACACAAGAGACAATTACAATATCTAATATAGACATACACGAGACAATTACAATATTATATAGACATACACGAGACAATAGACACACAAGAGACAATTACAATATCTAATATAGACATTTACGAGACAACAGACACACAAGAGACAATTACAATATCTAATATAGACATACACGAGACAACAGACACACAAGAGACAATTACAATATCTAATATAGACATACACGAGACAATTACAATATCTAATATAGACACACAAGAGACAATTACAATATCTAATATAGACATACACGAGACAATTACAATATCTAATATAGACATACAAGAGACAATTACAATATCTAATATAGACACACAAGAGACAATTACAATATCTAATATAGACATACACGAGACAAACACAACATAGACATACACGAGACAATTACAATAAAAAATATAGACATACACGAGACAATTACAATATCTAATATAGACATACACGAGACAATTAAAAATATCTAATATAGACATACACAAGACAATTACAATATCTAAACAAAAAAAGACATACACACAAAAAAAGACAATTACAATATTATATAGACATACACGAGACAATAGACACACAAGAGACAATTACAATATCTAATATAGACATTTACGAGACAACAGACACACAAGAGACAATTACAATATCTAATATAGACATACACGAGACAACAGACACACAAGAGACAATTACAATATCTAATATAGACATACACGAGACAATTACAATATCTAATATAGACATACATAAGACAATTACAATATCTAATATAGACACACAAGAGACAATTACAATATCTAATATAGACATACACGAGACAATTACAATATCTAATATAGACATACAAGAGACAATTACAATATCTAAGACATCACAAGAGACAATTACAATACTAATCTATAGACATACACGAGAAAAACAGACACACAAGAGACAATTACAATATCTAATATAGACATACACGAGACAATTACAATATCTAATATAGACATACACGAGACAACAGACACACAAGAGACAATTACAATATCTAATATAGACATACACGAGACAATAGACACACAAGAGACAATTACAATATCTAATATAGACATACACAATACAACAGACACACAAGAGACAATTACAATATCTAATATAGACAAACACGAGACAATTACAATATCTAATATAGACATACATAAGACAATTACAATATCTAATATAGACATACACGAGACAATTACAATATCTAATATAGACACACAAGAGACAATTACAATATCTAATATAGACATACACAAGACAATTACAATATCTAATATAGACATACACGAGACAATTACAATATTATATAGACATACACGAGGCAATAGACACACAAGAGACAATTACAATATCTAATATAGACATACAAGAGACAATTACAATATCTAATATAGACATACACGAGACAATTACAATATCTAATATAGACATACACGAGACAACAGACACACAAGAGACAATTAATATATCTAAAAAAGACATACACGAGACAACAGACACACAAGAGACAATTACAATATCTAATATAGACATACACGAGACAATTACAATATCTAATATAGACATTTACGAGACAACAGACACACAAAAGACAATTACAATATCTAATATAGACATACACGAGACAACAGACACACAAGAGACAATTACAATATCTAATATAGACATTTACGAGACAACAGACACACAAGAGACAATTACAATATCTAATATAGACATACACGAGACAACAGACACACAAGAGACAATTACAATATCTAATATAGACATACACGAGACAATTACAATATCTAATATAGACATACATAAGACAATTACAATATCTAATATAGACATACATAAGACAATTACAATATCTAATATAGACATACACGAGACAATTACAATATCTAATATAGACATACATAAGACAATTACAATATCTAATATAGACATACATAAGACAATTACAATATCTAATATAGACATACACAAGACAATTACAATATCTAATATAGACACACAAGAGACAATTACAATATCTAATATAGACATACACGAGACAATTACAATATCTAATATAGACATACACGAGACAATTACAATATCTAATATAGACATACACAAGACAATTACAATATCTAATATAGACATACAAGAGACAATTACAATATCTAATATAGACATACACGAGACAATTACAATATTATATAGACATACACGAGACAATAGACACACAAGAGACAATTACAATATCTAATATAGACATTTACGAGACAACAGACACACAAGAGACAATTACAATATCTAATATAGACATACACGAGACAACAGACACACAAGAGACAATTACAATATCTAATATAGACATACACGAGACAATTACAATATCTAATATAGACATACACGAGACAATTACAATATTATATAGACATACACGAGACAATAGACACACAAGAGACAATTACAATATCTAATATAGACATACACGAGACAATTACAATATCTAATATAGACATACACGAGACAATTACAATATCTAATATAGACATACACAAGACAATTACAATATCTAATATAGACATACACGAGACAATTACAATATTATATAGACATACACGAGACAATAGACACACAAGAGACAATTACAATATCTAATATAGACATTTACGAGACAACAGACACACAAGAGACAATTACAATATCTAATATAGACATACACGAGACAACAGACACACAAGAGACAATTACAATATCTAATATAGACATACACGAGACAATTACAATATCTAATATAGACATTTACGAGACAACAGACACACAAGAGACAATTACAATATCTAATATAGACATACATAAGACAATTACAATATCTAATATAGACACACAAGAGACAATTACAATATCTAATATAGACATACACGAGACAATTACAATATCTAATATAGACACACAAGAGACAATTACAATATCTAATATAGACATACATAAGACAATTACAATATCTAATATAGACACACAAGAGACAATTACAATATCTAATATAGACATACACGAGACAATTACAATATCTAATATAGACATACACGAGACAACAGACACACAAGAGACAATTACAATATCTAATATAGACACACAAGAGACAATTACAATATCTAATATAGACATACACGAGACAACAGACACACAAAAGACAATTACAATATCTAATATAGACATACACGAGACAACAGACACACAAGAGACAATTACAATATCTAATATAGACATACACGAGACAATTACAATATCTAATATAGACATACAAGAGACAATTACAATATCTAATATAGACATACAAGAGACAATTACAATATCTAATATAGACATACACGAGACAACAGACACACAAGAGACAATTACAATATCTAATATAGACATACATAAGACAATTACAATATCTAATATAGACACACAAGAGACAATTACAATATCTAATATAGACATACACGAGACAATTACAATATCTAATATAGACACACAAGAGACAATTACAATATCTAATATAGACATACACGAGACAATTACAATATCTAATATAGACACACAAGAGACAATTACAATATCTAATATAGACATACACGAGACAATTACAATATCTAATATAGACACACAAGAGACAATTACAATATCTAATATAGACATACACAAGACAATTACAATATCTAATATAGACATACACGAGACAACAGACACACAAGAGACAATTACAATATCTAATATAGACATACATAAGACAATTACAATATCTAATATAGACATACACGAGACAATTACAATATCTAATATAGACATACACGAGACAATTACAATATCTAATATAGACATACACAAGACAATTACAATATCTAATATAGACATACACGAGACAATTACAATATTATATAGACATACACGAGACAATAGACACACAAGAGACAATTACAATATCTAATATAGACATACAAGAGACAATTACAATATCTAATATAGACATACACGAGACAATTACAATATCTAATATAGACATACACGAGACAACAGACACACAAGAGACAATTAATATATCTAAAAAAGACATACACGAGACAACAGACACACAAGAGACAATTACAATATCTTATATAGACATACACGAGACAATTACAATATCTAATATAGACATACACGAGACAATTACAATATCTAATATAGACATACACGAGACAATTACAATATCTAATATAGACATACACGAGACAATTACAATATCTAATATAGACATACAAGAGACAATTACAATATCTTATATAGACATACACGAGACAATTACAATATCTAATATAGACATTCACGAGACAACAGACACACAAGAGACAATTAATATATCTAAAAAAGACATACACGAGACAACAGACACACAAGAGACAATTACAATATCTTATATAGACATACATTATAGTGCCTGAGCCATTACTGCTTCTGCTATCCCTCTGTTTCTTGTCATGTCTTGTTTTATCCGACTGAACGTCTATCTTGGATCCCATAGGACTTGCTTCTGTGACTTTAGCATTCACATTTGTATTGGTCTTAACCATTTTTTTATGTTGTTTTTTTAGGTGTTCTTGTTTATTTTTTTCTTTGTGAAGATGTTCTACTTTGCGTAGCCTGTTTTGTTCCTTTTCTGCGTTTAGTTTTTCCATTCTTTGCTGCTCTTTCTTTTCTGCCAACTGTTGTTTGTTCTTTTCCCTCTTTTCTTTCTGTTTCTTGTGATGATGCTTCTTCATTTCTTGTTTCTGTTGTTTTTTTGTTTTTCGGTGATGCTTGGTCGTCGTTTGATCGCCATCCACTTCAGCTCTTGAAGACCTTACCGAGATGTCAAAATCCTGCTGGACTCTGCAAAGATCAGAAAGTGAACTCATGAATTCTTGAAATTAATGTAAACTAATGAACAATTATACTGTTGGAACACTTTCAGATGACCAGAATAAAGATACGCTCTGAAAATAATTTAATGATTGTAAGATCTTAATGATCACAGTAAAAGTAGGATCTGTGAAGATAAAAGTATAATCTGTCTTGGTCAGACTACCTGTAGAATCTGTGTTGATCAGAATAAATAGAAAAAAAATGTCGGATCTATGTTGATCAGATTAAATTTAGGATCTGCGAAGATCAGATTAGATGTAGTATTGCTCTCTTTATGGCACGCTTGAAAGCACCCCTTTCCCTAGCCTCAGGTGATTTCAATGCCAATGCTTCTTCAATGTCCAATATCCCTCGAGGTTAAACCCCTGCCTCTCTTTCCACAAACTGCATCCCCCACCACCGACCCTACCCAGCCACCATGACATTTGATGTGGCCAAAATTCTTAAACTTTGGGAGCCAGGATGCTGTTAATGAGCCAGTTCTTAATGATGTTTAACTCGTGTAGAATGTCAATGTTTTTTATTTTCATGAATCATAGTATTCTGGCATTTTTCTGTAACATTTTAATTTGAACATTCCAATCTTTTTCTTCAGTGACTGAGTAAAAGTCCGGGACTCACAAAAGTATGTTGCCACAGTGTTGATCAGAATAAATGTAGGATCTGTGTTGATCAGAATAAATATAGGATCTGTGTTGATCAGAATAAATGTTGGATCTGTGTTGATCAGAATAAATGTTGGATCTGTGTTGATCAGAATAAATGTAGGATCTGTGTTGATCAGAATAAATGTAGGATCTGTGTTGATAAGAATAAATGTAGGATCTGTGTTGATAAGAGTAAATGTAGGATCTGTGTTGATAAGAATAAATGTAGGATCTGTGTTGATCAGAGTAAATGTAGGATCTGTGTTGATAAGATTAAATATAGGATCTGTATTGATCAGAGTAAATGTAGGATCTGTCTTGATCAGGGTAAATGTAGGATCTGTGTTGATCAGAGTAAAATTAGGATCTGTATTGATCAGAATAAATGTAGGATCTGTGTTAATAAGAGTAAATGAGGGATCTGTGTTGATCAGAGTAAATGTAGGATCTGTGTTGATCAGAGTAAATATAGGATCTGTGTTGATCAGAATAAATGTAGGATCTGTGTTGATCAGAATAAATGTAGGATCTGTGTTGATCAGAGTAAATGTAGGATCTGTGTTGATCAGACTAAATGTAGGATCTGTGTTGATCAGAATAAATGTAGGATCTGTGTTAATCAGAGTAAATGTAGTATCTGTGTTGATCAGAATAAATGTAGGATCTGTGTTGATAAGAATAAATGTAGGATCTGTGTTGATAAGAATAAATGTAGGATCTGTGTTGATAAGAGTAAATGTAGGATCTGTGTTGATCAAAATAAATGTAGGATCTGTGTTGATCAGAATAAATGTAGGATCTGTGTTGATAAGAATAAATGTAGGATCTGTGTTGATCAGAGTAAATGTAGGATCTGTCTTGATCAGAGTAAATGTAGGATCTGTTTTGATCAGAGTAAATATAGGATATGTGTTGATCAGAATAAATGTAGGATCTGTGTTGATCAGAATAAATGTAGGATCTGTGTTGATCAGAGTAAATGTAGGATCTGTGTTGATCAGACTAAATGTAGGATCTGTGTTGATCAGAATAAATGTAGGATCTGTGTTGATCAGAGTAAATGTAGTATCTGTGTTGATCAGAATAAATGTAGGATCTGTGTTGATATGAGCAAATGTAGGATCTGTGTTGATCAGAATAAATGTAGGATCTGTGTTGATCAGAGTAAATGTAGGATCTGTGTTGATCAGAATAAATGTAGGATCTGTGTTGATCAGAATAAATGTAGGATCTGTGTTGATCAGAATAAATGTAGGATCTGTGTTGATAAGAATAAATGTAGGATCTGTGTTGATAAGAATAAATGTAGGATCTGTGTTGATAAGAATAAATGTAGGATCTGTGTTGATAAGAGTAAATGTAGGATCTGTGTTGATAAGAATAAATGTAGGATCTGTGTTGATAAGAATAAATGTAGGATCTGTGTTGATAAGAATAAATGTAGGATCTGTGTCGATAAGAATAAATGTAGGATCTGTGTTGATAAGAATAAATGTAGGATCTGTGTTGATAAGAATAAATGTAGGATCTGTGTTGATAAGAATAAATGTAGGATCTGTGTTGATCAGAATAAATGTAGGATCTGTGTTGATCAGAATAAATGTAGGATCTGTGTTGATCAGAATAAATGTAGGATCTGTGTTGATCAGAATAAATGTAGGATCTGTGTTGATCAGAATAAATGTATGATCTGTGTTGATCAGAATAAATGTAGGATCTGTAAAGATCAGAATAAATATAGGATCTGTGAGGATAGGATGGAACTTATTCTGTGAAGTTCAAAAAGAGTTTCCTTAAAGAATTATATCAACATGAAAACAATAGCTCATGTGTTGGCGTTAACAGCGGGGCAGTAACTTCCCAATTAATCTGAAGTTTGAATCTGCAATGAACAGATTTTCTTTTACACGACATGTCTAAGCAAGTAAAGTTGACCTAAAATGGGTACTAGGACATGTCCTAGCAAGTAAGGGTGGCCTAAAATGGGTACTAGGACATGTCCTAGCAAGTAAGGGTGGCCTAAAATGGGTACTAGGTCATGTCCTAGCAAGTAAGGGTAGACTAAAAATGGGTACTAGGACATGTCCTAGCAAGTAAGGGTAGACTAAAAATGGGTACTACGACATGTCCTAGCAAGGGTGGCCACAAATGGGTACTAGGACATGTCCTAGCAAGTAAGGGTGGCCTAAAATGGGTGTAGGACATGTCCTAGCAGCCAGTAAGCGTGGCCTAAAATGGGTACTAGGACATGTCCTATCAAGTAAGGATGGGATGATGATGTTGGCATACCCCACCGGTGGCTTTTTTGGTCTTTAAAACTGTGGGTCTAGAATTCCCAATAAAAAGTCGACCACTTTCAACTATGCTGAAAACAGATTTGGTTATAACTATAGTCTGGTTTTATGTGCGCTAAGTTAATGGCTTAAATAATTTTCTGCGTCCGTCATTATGGTTGAATATCCCTGATTGTTTCGTGTTCTGGCTGAGTATGTCTGGATCCTATCTGCTGCGTCTGTGATACTAGTGGGATTCCATTTTGTTGTCCACCTTCGCAGCTGTGTTAATTGTGACTCGTCTGTGATCCTAGTGGGATTCTATTGTGTTGTCCACTTTCGCAGCTGTGTTTATTGTGACACGTCTGTGATCCTAGTGGGATTCCATTGTGTTGTCCACTTTCGCAGCTGTGCTTATTATGACTCGTCTGTGACCTATTCGTCACCAATAGCGTGGACATATTTTATAATGTGTCAGATACATGAGTCTTACTTTAAGATTCATTTCTAAATCAAATACGGCAGGTAGTCCAGTACTGTTTTAAATTAAAGAAGAAAACATCTTCCTTTCTGCCTTTGAATTCAGTATTTTAAAAGTTAACAAATTTCACTTGCGGGTTCTGAGGCCTCTTTGCGGGGTGGGAAAAAACTAATAGATCAATTGCCTCCCTAAAGTCGAAAAATTAGGGAATTTCCTGGAAATCGGAGTCCATTTGCTTGACAGACGAAGAACCAACAGCCTGCATACAAATAAGCCAGATCTATCAAACGGATGTCCACTGAAAATTCATGTTCTGGAACAACAAATGAACAACCAGAACTTTCCGCCGGAGTTTACAGTCAGTGAAAGCGAAGAAGAAGAAGAAGAAAAGAAGAAGAAGAAGAAGAAGAAGAAGAAGAAGAAGAAGAAGAAGAAGAAGAAGAAGAAGAAGAAGAAGAAGAAGAAGAAGAAGAATGATCCGGTGTCTACACTGACTTGGCAAAGACCGCATCCATGGTGGTACTGAAGATGCCCAGAATCTCAATGTTCAGCAGCTCTGTGTGAGTCTCCAGGTTAAAGAGCAGCTTGGAGAATTTGCTGATGTCGTCGTGAGGCAGGAAGTAGCGCAGCTGCTTGTCGTTCTCCTGCTGGATATATGAAAAATATTCCGGGGGTAACGCAGGTCTGTCTTCCAAGTGTGTAATTATTATGTGCCATGCATTCTTCTCTGCGTTTTGTAAATTTACATTATTAGATATTTTGTTCACAGCTCTTCCTGATTTAGCTTCTTCGTCTTCTTCCTCCTCTTCTTCTTCTCTTCTTCTTCTTCTTCTTCATCATCATCATCACAATCTTCTTCTTCTTCTTCTTCCGTTTCGTTCTTCTTCTTCTTCTTCTTCTTCTTCTTCTTCTTCTTCTTCTTCTTCTTCTTCTTCTTCTTCTTGTTCTTCTTCTTCTTCTTATTTTTCTTCTTCTTCTTCATAATCTTCTCTTTCTTCTTCTTCTTCTTTTTCGTTCTTCTTCTTCTTCTTCTTCTTCTTCTTCTTCTTCTTCTTCTTCTTCTTCTTCTTCTTCTTCTTCTTCTTCTTCTTCCTCTTTTTCTTCTTCTTTTTCTTTTTCTTCTTCTTCGTTTTTTTTTTGTCGTTTTTCTTCCTCTTCTTCCTACTTCTTCTTATTCTTCATCTTCTCCATTTTTTTTAACCGGCTAAAAATTTTGGTGGAGAGTTTTGGTTGTTCGTCCGCTTCTGAACTCTAGTCTTGTTCTAAAAATTTAGTTTTGCGTGCACACCCTTTTTAGATACTTCAAATGCAACTCTCATAATTAGCTGATTCTTACAACATGCTTGTCATGAGGGCCGTGGATCTAGTCGCCT